ATGTGTTAGATAGAACAGCAAAAAGAACACTAAGAAGAGGTAAAAGTGTCTAAAGAGCATGTTTCATGCTGTGTGGTCAGAAAGAATTTTATATGTAGTGAATGAGACACATATTGGAATCAAACAGGCATGAGAAGTGCTATGATATACAATAAATGTGTATTCAACAAAATGCTACAATGCTAATAAACCGGAATACTGTAAGAAGTCTTCGAGTGTGGGGTCTCTGAATGCTCCTGTCAGAGAGCTTGACTCTGATCCTCTCTGAGATTTGACAACCTGATTGATAATAGAATATGGTGATGTAAGGATTAGGAAGCATTTTTATTTCTCAACTGAAAGGATTACTGATATAATGATTAAATTGCATACGCTATACCTGCTTCCAGGCAGAAGGCTTTCTTCTCACAGATGTCAGATTACAACTGGGATTTTGTGAAGCAGTACAAGAAAAGCTTTCTGGGTGTAACGCTAAACTTGTTGTATTAAGAACTTTTGTGTGTGTGTGGTGGGATGTCTTCATCCAACCTACATGTGTTTTACTATAGCCTAGTATATGTTTTTGTTTCAATACACACAGTAAGCTTTTCAAAGCACCACGGTTCCCAGCACCTGAATTCCTGCGTGTTCTGAGAAGTGCCATCATTTAATTGTGGATGCAATTATAAAAGATGCAATTATCTTTAATTGTACTATTTCTGTTCACCATCTCAGTACATGAAAGGCTCTGAATGAATCCAGTTTGTTGTGTGCTAGTTGTTTATTTTCTTGAGGCATTATGGAGTTCTAATTAACTATTAATGCTGACATATAGCCGGATTAATTTAACAACTTAATCTAAAGATGAAAATTTGAATAATATCTCCACTGTTGTTTAGGACATAAAATGAGTCAGAGCATCTCCACTTCTCTTTGTCTTCTCTCAAAAAGACTGGCTTTTTAGCTTGGACAAAAGATTAATAAAAAACTTCACAAAACATTTCCTGCAAGGCCTCCTGCATTACATTGTTCTTTCCTAAGCCTGAAGAGACACTCAGCATGTGGTTTGGTTGACAACACACTGGCATACAATAACAGTGCATTATGACAAGATTTACCAAGATATTGAAAGCACTTCAGTTACAGTCTAGCTCACCATGTGCCTTTGACTACATTATAAATGTGGGTATTTTTACAAATCCACTTGAATCTTCATTATGTTCAAAGAATTCAATGAGCATTTCCGTCTGTTCACCCATTATCAGAGAGTTGCCTATTCCCAGTGAGAATCACAGCAACATGGTGCCTATTCCAAAGGCAAAAGGCAGGTTAAGTCCTAGATGCTATACCAGTCTAGCACAAGACATACACACACAAAACAATGCATTGCCAATTAAGACACTAATTAACCTAGCCAGCAAAAAGAAGGTACCTCAGTCTGGAACTATAAACAGGATGTTCTTGCTGCTCTCAGCTGGTGTCTCTGTTGCATAATGGTACTGATATTTTATTTATGCTCCATGTAATCAAAAATATCAATAACAGATGAGACCATTTCTGGTGGAGAACCACTTCTCACAATGTGTCTTCTCCTTGGGGGAGATTAAGATTGTGGTGCCATTCTGGTACATTCTGGATGTCCTGCTGCTTTGTTGATTGGACCTGGGAGGGAAAGCATCTGAAAGACCAAAGTTGATCCTGAGTCCACAGGTGACTGGACCTGGGAGGGAAAGCATCTGAAAGACCAAAGTTGATCCTGAGTCCACAGGTGACTCTCAGGCTTGAACTAAATAAGGGAGCAAATACACCCCTTGCTGATTGCTTATATTCAGGAACACGGTGGTGTTATCTGTCCATAACAGAAAGCAGGGATCTTCATAAGACACGGAGAAACTGCTGGGGCACCTCAAAAACTGACCATAGCTTTTTATCCATGATAGAGACCAGAGTCCCCAAATCCCATGTCCATTCCACAGAATAACCAAGGAGGGGATCATTGTCAGAATTCAGGCACAAAGGCATGGACAAAGAGACAAGCTTTCCTAAAGTTTCCTTGAGCACCACATCATCAAGGTCTGGAGACTGGTGGCCAACAGAAGTTAAGATCTTAAGCCATTCTCCGCCAGGCCCGGCCCCGTCACCAGGAACCACTGCAGAGGGGTGATCAGGCAGACTAAAGACACAGGTTAGCTCCTGTGATGCCACTGCCAGTGGCCCCAAGAGCTGGAAGAAGGTCTGCAGGGACAGCGCCACCCCAGTCCTCTGAAAGCACTGCTGCCCTCTGAACAGATCCTGACAAACCCCCAGAAAGACTCGGGTCTGAGCAGGTGACAGCTGCCTGCTCCAGCACCTCAGAGCGATTGTCCGGCGGCGGCATTTGGACAGGGATGAAGAACTGCCTTCCAAAGAAGCAACCTCAAACTCCTGAGAGGACATCTCTCTAGGCAGCACACATTCTCCACTAGCGGTTTGAAGGGGGTCTGAAGAAGGGGGTGGGCAATTGCACATAAATCTGCCACCTGAGCCATCTACAATACAATAAAACAATGGGCCACTTAGTATTCTGCTGCTCAATACATTCCAGATGCATCACTTTTTATCCAAGCTTTGCAAAGGGAAATTGACATTACTCTTTGAAAATTCTGAACGATATCCAAGGTTTATATACAAAATATAATATGCAAATATAATAAGATATACAAAATCTTATCTTTAGTTAAGATTTAGAATTATATCTCTTCCTGCTTGAGATGCACAGCAATGCTTGGCTGAATAGAATACAGTGGTTTAAAAGCTGTAAAGTGCACCAGATAATACAAATGCAGAATTCATATATACACAGAGCACCCACAAACAAACCTTGCAATAAAAAATGAGTTAAAATCTTCTATTATCTCTCTGAGACTTCTGCAGCAACCTACATCACTGCAAAAAGAAACACATCTTGTTCAGATAGCTCTCAATTTTCTGAAGGCAGTTAGAATATACAACCTGTTACAACAAGTGTGCAGTGTGGATCTGAAATCTCTCCTGGGAGATTCTCGGCCAGGGTTTGATGTCGATTGTAAATCAGATATGGACAAATGCCTGAAAATATGCCAGAAGGAAATGACAGTGGAATGACTAGAAATTAATTTTTGATCAAAGCAGAAGCAGAAGGATTATGCAGAATTTGACACAAAAAAATAAATTTGTAACTTATTACCAGTTCCATGGATGTGGAAAGGAGGGGTCTATCATTTGATCACATGTTCAGGGAAAGGGGAAAATGCTTTTAAACTTTACTTTCAAGCAACCTGTGCTGTTTGTGAACAATTTTTCATTATGATTTCTCTCTGCGTTATATATGCGGTACATACAGTACAGCCTAAAAATGTCCCATGCATCCATTATCTACTCCTGCTTCATCCTTAGGAGGGCCATGATTGGAGCCTAAGCTAGCAGACATAGGAAGCAAGGCTGGACTACACCCTGAAGATGTGAAACAGAGGGTAACTCAGACAGCATTAGAACCAAGGACTGTGGAAGGTGGGAAGAAACTAACGCACACAGAGAGGCCCAGTGCAAACAGAAAAACCATTTAAACTCCATACAGAAGGTATCCCAGGCTGGTATCAAACCCCAGACCCAAGAGCTGTGAGGCGATAGTGCTGAACATCTGTTGTATTAATGACTTTACATTTTACTGCATTGGTATGTACTTTGTATAAATTGTTAAGGGATCAGTTGTGCAAAGAAAATTAATGTCAATAATTTATTGGCACATTGTTAAAAGCATTACAGATTATAGTAATACGAAAGTATTACTAACGCGTGGAATTACTACGTTAGTAATCATCATGCTAATGTGTGAACAACTGAAGTAATGGCGTGACTGACTGAGATGATTAAAGTAGTGCATCACTTAAATAGTTAGTAATTGCTTCATTTCTTGTCCAAGGTACCAAGGTACCAAGGTAAGAACTGTCAATATAAGGGTTTGGACATTTTTATTTTTTAAATGAAAAAAAATCTAAACTGCTTTTGATTTATCCAGCAAAGACTTGGAAAAATATATATTTTAAAGAGCCTCTGACTGTGAGAAAAGGCCTGACGCAGAGATTGTCCTGCTGTGCAGAAATTGCTTTTTACAATGGTGTGTCAGCTGAGCCCACAACTTCATCTGCGTTTTAAACAGATTGTGGTTACGTTTGGAATTCTGTTCACCTAAGGGAACTCTCTTACTGTTTTTCACAAAGCTGAAATCTTAATTACAGCTGATAAACAGCAATTGTAATTAAAGGTATGGAACCAGAGTGAAGCAATGCTGAGAAATAGTGAAACATACTGAAGCGCGGTGAAATAGTCATTTTGTCAATAGTCCATAGTGGAGGAATGTCTTTTCACCTTGTTTAGCTGTGGGCCAGTCAAGGCAAGGGGCTTGGGCAGAAGATTCTGTTTCTCTGTGTCTTGTATCTTGTGTTTTTTGTCATTATACTCCTAACAGAAGTTTCCATATTGCCCCTAGTTCCCAATCTAATTATGCAGAACAAAGATCATACAGTATGTAGATGAAACTGTTTTAGCTTAGACAGTCTTTGAACTCCTCTCATAAAAGCCTCAAATAAGTAGATAAAGAAGGTAAAAGAAATGGATTCCTAAGGATTATTAATTAATTAAGTGCTTTGAAGTCAAACTATTCCACACATTTCACACCAACACTAAGATATTTTAATGTTGTAAGGACGGACATATAGCATGTGGTAGACATACATTTTATCACATCTAAATCTTTCATTTCCATGTCTTTTATCATGTTATCTTTTATTCATTATTTTCATATGTGCTTGATTTGTGGTGTTGAATACATGTGAATATGACAAAGGTAGACACTGGATGTGAAGGAAGTCTGAAACACCGTGGCTGATATTTAGGTACTGTACCTGTTTATAATAATTTGATTTCCCCATGACAGCAGATTCTCAGATATATTCAGAATATTGGTATATAAAATGCTAAAATCCATGTGTTGAGGCTTTAAAAATTTTAAAACAATTACAGGAACACAATACAGGAAGTTTAAATATTGTACTTTTTTTTCCACACCGACAAAACACAGATAATACATCATGTTAATACTTAAATGACTTGAATAGAAACAGCCTAGGCAACAGCTGTCATTAGTGAAGACGTTGTTGTTGGATTTGTTAACTGCACTTGGTTTCACACATACAGAGCCAAGTCATTATAAACCACCTGGTATGTCATCCTCTCCTTGGAGGCTCTGATTAAAGTGTCTCCTGCTGCTCTTGAATGGTGAATGATTAATGACTGGAGGAAAACAGGAGACAAATATTTTGAGCCCAGTCAAGGCCCCTGTCTCCAGAATCCAGCTGGATGGCAAAAAAAAAGAAAACATCAGCTGTTTCGTAGTGACATCATGCTAATAACGTGAATCATCTTTGAATTGCCATTTTGAAAGTGAACTCTAAGCCTTTCAAAATCAAAGCAGAAAATCTGCGGAACCTAGAACAGGCAGGTGGATCTACAGTGACAAAAGTAGGTACATTACATCGATGGGTTTTTCTGGAGCAATAAAATGAAAAAAGTAAAGAATGCAAAAATGGGACATCCATGTCTTAATTGATGGTTTGTATAAGTGATGATAATTCTGCTCATATACTTGAGCTCAGCTGCCCCTGTTTTACAGAATGCATGCCTGAAGAAAGGTGCACACAGCTGCCCTGCCCACACCAGGCACTGCTCACTGACACCTGGTCTTCCATCCCAGACACAGCCTGAGCATTAGCTTGCTCTGGCCGTTCAGACCATGCCAGCGGAGTTAGCTGGGAAAGCTACAGCTTAGAGAGATGGAGATTCATGCTGGCTAGTTCATTCCTTAAACCTCACGTTCAGCTTTCACGTTGATCCACCAGGTTCTGTGTCGTCAAACGTTAGACAGTTAACTTGTACAGGTAAAACAAAGCAGAGATCCAAGCCGGGGTATCCAATGCTGTCCCCGTATTCAGTGAACTGAAATGTTGCTACTGGTACTCAAACTGATTGTTGGGAAGTACATAGCTGTCCAAGTACATGCCATTGAAATAAATTTCAGCTCCGCATGGACCGTTTAGGGCACTGCAGTCCACAGATTGCAAGGTCCGATTCATTAGCCTCAGGTGAGATGGAAATTGGTGGGTACCGAGACACATTTTCTGTGTGGAACATCGCTGCCAAGAAGGATGGACTACTGAAAGGAAGGTCAGTTTATGACACAGTCTACAGTGTTGTGCTGTGTGAAGATCTAAAGCCCATGAACATGAGGTATCTTCTTTCATCTGGGCGGAGACTGACAGTACACCTTTGGGACAATTCCACCAGTGTTAATTAGGACCACCACAGCCCACACTGCCAGCAGCTGCAGCAAAAAAGAAGGAGATTTATGTTGCTTGTAGCATTCAGAGCAAGAGCAACAGACTTTTTAATCTTTCAGTGCTTGAATATATTATCTTGATCTACAGCTATTATGCATTCTTCCAAATTATCTAAATATGATTTATTGCTTCTAGCATACTACTCAAGTTTTGTTCTTGGTAAATACAGCTGTTTTATTATATACAGTATACTGTATAAACATTATTATAAACATTATTACAATTTGCTAGACTGACTTTAATGCTCAGACTTGTAGGTATTTTACAGTATACTTTTCTTTCCAGAAAATTCTTGGGTGTTACTTTAGCTGCTCTTGCCAATAACATTAATACATATGAGAAAATGAGGAAATGCAACACTTGCTAAGACCTTTGAAGATATTTGGAACTCCACACAATGTCCAGGAAAGCTCGGAACAGGGCAAACGATATTGATGTTTTGGTTTGCTTTGTTTCTCTTGTATGGATGTAATACATTAAAAAGATGTTTGAATACATCTTGAAAAGATAAAACAACAGTGGTTGATTGGATTACACCGTCTGTGTCTTTCTGGTCTCTTTAACAAGAAAATGTCGAAGCAACAGGCACTGAAAATTCCGGTAATAACCCAACATTATTCATTCTCTGCATCAACACAGGGACATGACCTAATGGGTTAACAGCTCTCCACATTCAATGCGGAATAGACGATAACAACCGTTCCTACCACATTTTATTTTAAGAAATAAATTCCTATCCTCAATGAGTATTCACTCCACCTATTTTTAACTATTTTACGGAATATACAAATAACTCTCAGTACACTTTAATTTGCGTTCTCCACTTGTGAGTCAAAACCTACAAAGGCTCCTTGAAACACAATAGATGTTCCAGTTCAAAAAGATCCAAAAAATAACCAGAATTATACAATTAAAAAATAAAATAAAGGCTTCAAACGTGAAATGAAAAGCACTAATCTGTTTTCAGTAGTGGCTTCAGCCTAAGAAGGCTGTGGTGAGGTGGAACCTGGCAGGCACAGGGCACAAGCTGTTGCCAGATGGGACCAGTCCGTTGCAGGCCTCACAAAAATTAATTCACTTACACACACTTGGGGGGAGGTTGGAGGGGATTAAAGGCACCAATTGATCTGTATACCATGCCCTTGGAACTGTGAGAACGAAACCAGGGCACCCGGAGAAAACCAGGGTGCCCCTGGCTGGAATCAAACCGCGGACTCAAGAGTTACAGTATGAGACAACTGCGACCGCCACTCCCGACAATAAAAAATATATTACAGCAAATAAACGATAGAATGCTTTGTGCAAACATTACTCTAAATCAACGAAAGACTAAACACTTTCTACTTCATAAAAATATCACATCTAAATATTTTCCACGTATTTTATTTTCCGTGTTTATTATTTTAAATGTTTCCTCTTCTGACTGCTCTTAGCAATTAAAATTCCAGTATACATTTATTGACGAATAATGTCTTACCCTGATTAGCGTTTTTAGTTTACACTTTCGTGTTAATGCCTATATTAAACGAAAATGAATAAAATTAATAAAATGAAATGACATCCTAACAGTGGCATCTCATGATCATGTCTTATCACAAATCAACTCTTATTTTAATTATTATATTCTTGTCTAACTTAACATATCCTCATTCGTCATGCACAGTCAATCAATCTCTAAAATTATATCTGCAGGTCTAACTTAATGAGGATTGCCAAACCTTCATGAATTATAAATGATGAAATGAAACGGTAAGTAAAAATCATTATTTTTAAAAAACCCGTGAGAGAGAAAATCGCTTATAAAATCAGCACGTACAGATATTTTCATTTCTGATGGGGGTGTACCTGAAGGTTAACAGTGAGCTCTTGTATCGAAATAGTTTCCTTTGTCTGAGGGGCAAAACAACTGTAAGAGGAATGTTATCTCCCATCCAGCTAACAAAGAGCTCCCCCCTCCTTTTCTTCAGTATTCCTGATTTAATCAAGTTTATCTGGTACCTTTTGCTGATGGAAAATATTTCACTGCCACACTTGTGCATTTTTGTATGATGTGAATACCCACAGATAAAGCCATGTAAAGGGAATACAATGTAAAAAAGAAATACTGCACTTAGATCGACGTGTCATATAAATCCCTAACGTCTGACGCGGGACGACAGACTACGGTGTTTGTACCCCTCGGGCAATACATACGTTTATTATTCCCGGATTTGTCCGGGAATTGCATCACATTCGTTAGGTCCCGCCGAAGTGAACGGGGTTATGGTATCCAGTGAAATTTCGGCTTCACACTCAAACTGGACAGCCGCAGGTAAGAGCAGGTTCTTGTGGCTGCGGGAAGTATCTGACAGGACGGAGACCTTGTCAAACGGTATGCTCACTTCTTCGCCCGACTGGGCGACAGCGTGCGGGAGCTGACCAGCGGTAAAGACAATTGGAGCGTCTTTCTGAAAGGTGGTGTCGTGGTGATAGGAGACCAGTTCATTACTGAAATTCACTGCCTCCACGGTGGTGCTGGAGCAAAACCTGTTGCAGCCTAGTATGGTCGAAAAGGCCTTTCTAAAATCTGCGTTGAAAGCGTATATCACTGGGTTTAAGGACGAATTGGCCCACCCAAACCACACAAAAATATTGAAAGTGGTGTCGCTCACGCAAGGGAGTTCCCCGAGTTCGTACGTGTTGATGTCACAGAAGGGCACCATGCAGTTTAGTACGAAAAAGGGAAGCCAGCAAAAAACAAACACCCCCATTATAATGGAAAGTGTCTTTAAAACTTTGGTTTCTTTTTTGAACGACGTTTTCAGGGAATGCTCGTGAGGGCAGTCGTTGGGATGGTGGTGACAGTTCTGTGCGTGTTCCACGGCTCTTTCCAGGGAAGATATCCTTCTAATCTGGGTTTGAGCGATCCGGTAAATCCTAGTGTATGTGCCAATCATGATGGCCACAGGGATGTAAAAACTGATCAAGGAGGAAGAAATGGCATATGTCCTATTCAGACTCGCGTCGCAGTTTTCAGTGTGGTTGCTGAAATTTGCGGGGGCATCTTCTACAGTAGCTTTGTGCCAGTTTAGCTGCACGGGTATGAATGAAATCAGAATCGACAGAGTCCATGCAACCCCGATCATGATAAAAGCAACTCTCTGGGTCATTTTGCGTTCATATCTGAAGGGGCTTGCAATTGCCCAATACCTGTCCACGCTTATAATGCAGAGATTAAGAATAGAAGCAGTGGAGCACATGATATCAAAGGCAATCCAGGTATCGCAAAAGCTACCAAAAAGCCAGTACCCGGCCACTTCAGTGACCGCTTTCCAGGGCATTACAAGGACCGCAACGAAGAGGTCCGACACCGCCAGAGAGATGACAAAAAAGTTGGTCACTTTGGACCTCAGGTGTCTAAATTTAATGACAGCGGCACACACGAGCGTGTTCCCTAACAGGGTGGACACGATGAGGAGAAACAAAAGACATCCAGTTAGTGCTCGGACACTGAGGCCAGTGCTGTCAGTATCGGTGCCTTCTGACAAAACCTCCGTAGCATTTGTGAAGTTTTCCATGAAGAGTTGTTTCTTTCGCAACGTGATCCTCAAAGTCAGCCTTTACATTCCTCGAGGTAACGGGCACTTTCTTTCATGTTGCGGTCTCCGACAGGCTGCTGTAGGTAAGGTTTGCTTTTATCGGGACTCTGGAAAAAAGTGCAAACTCGTTTATTTTTTTAAATCTGTTTCATAGGAAATCTTATCTTTTTGTCCGATTTCCAGCTCGCGTCCTCAGGTGCAGGTCCAATGCCACCGTAGAGCAGCAAGAAACTGATTTCATTATTACACTTTTCTGCTACGCGGCAGATACGACTGCGTTTTTAAAAGCCACTTAAAACAACAACAACAACAACGTTTTATTCAGGTTCCGGTGTTCTGTTTTTTATGCGTGGAATTGAGTGACGGGCTTCAGCGATTTGAACAAGGTATATAAGAATCGTGCCATTTCTCCCGTTTTATAAAGGCAGTTCGGCATGTGATTGGTTTGCACTGTCAGCTATTCTAGATTTAATCCAATAGCGTCCCCTCGCGTCTGGTTTTATCAATGATTTTTTTTATTTACGGCTTTTCTCCAGTCTTCTATACAAAATGTAACGCTCACGACAACAAGAATGCCTGCTTTGAAAAGTGAGGAGATTTTTCATCATGCAAACAATTCCCTGTACGGTATATGTTTTCTTCGGCTGTACTGTCCGTACTACAGCTATGTTGTACCTGTGATGAGCATACAGAATTCACAGATTGTAGCCTTGTCATTCACACTGCTTCTGTTTTACACATACTGTACCTATTTGCTTTGTGGTTTGTTTTAATTATCATTTGAAGGCGAATACTTCAGCTGCATTATTCAAGTGTTGGCTTTTGTCATCACCAGTGAGCTCGAGTTCTGTAAATCGTGGAGAGTTACTAAAACAAATAATTTAAAAAGAGAGTGTTCATGGATTTTAAAAGTGCAAAATCCGCAGACCAAGGACATTCAGGTTGAGTGTCAGATTTTAAAGTGCAGTTTTGTTTGTTTGTTTTTTTATCACTATATTCTGAGATATTTCAAGATATGTTTAAATTCTGCCGCTTCACAGAGCTAGTTTTAGGAAATTGACTTAGCAGTACTATTTCTATTGACAAGTAATGAACGGATACCAGTAAAAATAATTTTTATCCCATATTCGTCTTCACCTTATGTTCGATTTCCATTCACTCCCGTTAGCCCCGTGGGAGAAGGGGTAGCTTGAAGTTGCTGTTGTGTTTGTAGTTGTCAGTTTTTGCACTGTGTTGATCAGTTTACCAAGCCGTTATCTGGCAATATCTTCAAGGTATTTTTATGGTAATAATTCTCATGGAAAAGCAGATGATGGGAGTGATTTTTTAAAAAAATGGTAAACGAGTGATGAGCACATGTGATGAAAACATTCCTTTATTAGTGCTTCAGAAATATCTGCAGAAATTAGATCCATGTTAGTTAATAACGCCATCATCTGAAGAATGCAAGACAATCAGCCCGAGGCACTTTCCACTAGTTTTCCTGGAATATACTCGCATTGTGTAAGTGGCTCTTGTAAAGAGAGGTGAATATGTTCAGGCTTGGTGCAATTTCATTGAGTTTAATGATAATAAAGACTGTCGTTCTAATTGCCTGTAATTTGTTGGTGAATAACTTGCACAATCTGCTATCCTCTTCTCGTTGTTTTACAAATTCTAGCAAAAACAGGCAGCAATGGGTAAGTGCTTTCAGAAGAGAAATCTGTCGCATCAGACCTGAACTGTTGAATGATCGGTGCTTATCCAACTTAACATACCACGGGGAATCGCGCTCCGCTTTCAGCTGAAGTGGATGGAGTGCATTATTATATTGTATTATACAGTAGATTATACTCATCTGGCAAACAGGCGTAAGATGATAAGACTACAGTCATTTATTTTTAATTATTAAAATCCAAGGTAAAATCGCTCAGATTATCTAAAATGACTGCAGGTTTTGTACTCTGGTGCGCAACTAAATTGATTTTTAAAACATGTCCTCATTTTCACAGTTTCGAGAGCGTGAATCATCCCGCTAAAAATTCAAGGTAATAATTTAAATGATAATTTCTTGAATGCATATATTGTATAAATGAATACATTTATAACAGCGGGGTTTCAGCCTTCATATGATTCCTCTTGTACTTAAACACCCTCTACTGGACAAACTAGACTCTAATGCTATCAAGTGCAGGACTTGTGGAACAGGTAAAGGTTTATTCCATGCTGAAAAGAAAAAAAGACTGTGGAACCTTCTTCAGGTTTGGGGGTGAGAGTTGGCATCAATAAGTAATTCCCATCCATCTAACCCTTTTCTGCTTTATCCAATACATGGTCACAGGTTAGCCGGAACTTATCCCAGCAAACAACATGCTCAAGGCAGGGCACACCCTGGACGAGATTCCAGTACATCGGAAGGCATAAATCATTTTCAGATATCTTAAAATGTTTAAATATATCTTAAAATGATTTAGAAATATCTCAACATTAATTAAAGAGATCTCCATATGAGATATTGATATTTTCAAGTAGTGTGATTTAAATGCTATCTCTAAATTATTTAAAGATTTCTCTAAAAGGACTTCATATACATATCTCTAAATCATTTTAGGATGTCTTCAAGTGTATTTAGCGATATCTCAAAATTATAAATTGTATTACCATAGGAAAGCACTATACAAATGCTAGACATTAGTTTATGTAAATAAGAGGACATTACAAAGATAAACATCATTCGCCCATGTATTCACTCACATATCCTCAAAAATGATCTGTCAAACAACAGGTCCACACAAGACTGGGGACACTCCAGGGAACTGCATTGCTGGCCATGTTTGCTAGTTGCATTTTTGGCTAGGCTGCTGTAATATATGTCTGTTACAAAACTCAATCAAGTACAGATTTCATCTGTGCCTTGTGTGGAAACTATCCAAAGTGCTGTAAAATGAAAAGACAAACAAAATGCTGTAGTAAATAAACTGTTGTAAAATGCTTTTTTTAAAGCGGAGATGTATATCATTGAGTGACTGAGGCAGTTATTGTTAGAACTCTGTAAGTAAAAGCTCTGCACTCTTACTGTCTTCAATCAGTATATTGGCAGCAGTTCAAAGAAATTGGGCAGCTGTGTTTTTACAAGCCAGGAGAGCTCAGCACGATGGAAACATGCCATGAAAAAGCCCTATGTCATCATTGACGACAGGAAGGTTCAGTACTCACTGTGGCTCACAGCAAAAAGCTTATTCCACAATATTTTTCAAAATTTCTGAATATCAATGTTAAACTACATTTTAGGTTCAAATTGAACAGTGTGAGTAAAATATTCTTTAAATTGTTGTCACAACTGTAACCCTGTCATAAATATGAATTGGCTTACTATGACAAGAAGAGGACAGATATAAATTCTTAATGCAAATATAAATTTGCATTAGCAAAAATGCACGTAAACATTAATTAAAAATGTGGACCTAGACTGGTCCCTGGGAATACTACTTGAAGAATTTATTAGGGACTTTCAAAAGTGCAGTTTGTTTTTGGACTTGTGATAATTGATAAGCTCATTATTGTTATGTATTCCTGGTCTTTAATTTAGTTCTAATTGCAGTGAGTTTTTATTTGTGAGGAGCAGTGCTCATTGAGAAACATGTGGCAAGGATTTTTCATACTGTATGATTAAAGTCAAGCTTTGCAAAATAAATGATCGTGATATTCATTGCATTATCTTGTTCCACAAGTATGCTGTTGTGTTTATCAGAAATTGATTTAAGACATTAATTGTGTTAAGTCATAATGAGTATGGTAATCTAGTCTGCCCATTACTATGTGTGGGTATGTGGGTTATTGTCACACCTTGTGGTGAAACTACGGCTTGTCCTTGCTAGTGGGCTAACTGGTCTAAGAAGGCAATATTTTACTGCTGCTGGAGGTCAGACTAGCCACAATACGTAATGCAGATGAAAACAGAATAAGGCAGGTGTGCCCAAGGTCTCTTTAAATCTAGTTTTGTAAGAACAAGGAAAGGTTTGTACTTGTACCTTGTACTAGGATGAGTTTAATTAGGTAATTAAGGACTCAGGTGGAAGGAAAACCAGACTTCTGGCCCTTTGGGAGTGGAGTTGTGCACCCTTGGAATAAGGGTATCGGGGCTCTGCTGTCTTCACGAAAACCCCTGGAAACGGAGACCACGAGCATGTGCATATTATTCTTCCCAAATGCTTGCCATCACATGGAACCCATCTCCTAGGTGACAACAATATGAATTTTGGCCCAGCAGTGAGCAAATGATTAGACTATGATTGCTAATCTGAATGGCTTTACAACACCTATACTTGACAGTCAGTTTCATCAAATGAAATCTCTGTATACTTTTTTAGTTTTTTGGGGGAGATGAAACATTCTCCCATACTTGACTTAAGGTCCATGCAGGGTCTACAGGCTGGACTCTTTTGTCTCATGTGGTGTCCATAGTTGTTCTTTCAAATTATACATTTTCCCCCATTTTATAGCACAAGAAACCTCACAACAGGGTATGTTGCCCATTTCATTTTCTTCGGGAAATCTCTCTGGCTTCTTCTGGTTCTGTTCAGCTGTCTAGGTGAATATTGTGCACACAAACTACGTCCTGCGTGTTACATAATGAGGGACAGGTCTGGCAGGTTCACATTGTGTTTTTTAGCACTAGCTGTCCTGAAGGTGTGTTCTAGCTTTGGTGAAATTCAAGTGTACCTATTTATGATGTACAGTTAAAAACATAGTTTTAAAATCAAGGGCTCTAATGATAAAACGGTACAATGCACTGGTAATACATTATTTGGAATATTGTATACAATTGTGTGACTTTTGTTATAAAAAAGGATATTGCTGGTCTGGAGTCACTCCAGAGAAGAGCAAACAAAGGGTTTAAAACAATATCCCATACTTACAGACTAAAATAAATTAATCTTTTTAGTGTAGAACAACAAAAAACAAGGGGCTTGATTCAACTATTAAATGTCTTCAGAGGCAAAGTAAACTGACTGGACTTCAGAATTAACAGTGAAAGCCAAGCCAGAGGACACAAGTGGAAACTATGGGGAAATTAATTTAAAACTTTTGTCAAGAAACGTTTAAATAAGATGTCCTGATCTATTGGCTAATAAAAATCAAATGAGCCTCTTGAACAAAACATTCTTTTCTCATCTCTGTCTTGTGTTCTTATGTTCTAAGCAGGTTTTTTCCAGCACTAGTATTATTTTTATTCTTATTATGATCCTAGTGATTACAATGGGATTACTTGTTAATCTGTGAGACCTTGGCAAATAATGACACTTTAATTGAGTGCTTTGAGAAACGCCTGTTTGTAGATTCATTGCTCCTTACTCCAGTAGTGAAACCTATTGCCTCCTCTCAAGGGATCAAGCTCTCCTCCTGGAATCTCGTTATTCTTCCCTTTTCGTTAACCTGCTAGTCCACTGTAAATACTCAGTTGGAGACATGCGTGGTGGATAATTTAGACGTCAATTAACCTACAATAACCTGTCTTTGAATCGTGAAGATAAACGAGCGCACCCAGAAGAAGCCCACAGGAACAAGGGGAGGACATGAGAACTCCATACTGCAGGCTCTCCAGACTGGTATTGCACCCAAAACCCAGGAAGAGTAAGGCAGCAGCCCTAACCTCCACGCTTCCGTGCTTCCCAGGAAAAATGTTAAAGCTTCGGTCACTACAGAGACTCTATGTCAACAGCAGATGTCGCTGCGATTCCCAGTTTCCCCTTTCCCGTTTTGTGAGGTGCCTGGATGAAGGCACAACGTCATACGGGCATTTCAAAATGGCTCCCTTCATTGGCAGGAGGAGGGGAGACAGCTGCCGGTTGTTACACTAACAACAACATCACCTCTCTGGATGGGGATGGGGTGTTTCTGGAGTGTATGTGTCCGTGTCTTCTGCCGCTAATAATGACCGCAGTCCGGCCGTTTTTCGTCCCGTTTTAAAGAATCGTAAATGCTCTAAAATGTTAACGACTCTCCCGAACCAGGGGCGAACACAACCCCAGCGATCCGAGGCGGCACAGCTGCACCGTTTTTGTTGTGGAGCTGTGCGAGCACTGTGAATGAAATGGAAAAAGAGGAAAATGGAGCTTCCGTGCTGCCTTTGTCTGTCGATGTCAACGAAAACGAGCAGAAGACCAAACCGCCGGGCTGCCGCTCAGGAACCGCCTCTCTTGCGGTGAAAGACAACAGGAATAAAGTCTCCTCCGAAGACACGAAGTCTGTTCCTCCGGGGAGAGGGTCTGTTCATTCCGCCGGTGACAGGAATGTGAGCGCAGACGAGATCGGCCTGCCATCGCAGCCCCTTCCTGCTGGAGGTAAAAAAATGCTTGATTTTGTCACCGACTGCGTCCCCGGCAGGATTAAAGACAGTTGCGTCTTGGCCGAGCAGCGTAGCGATGGAACCCTAAACGGATTTATTGAGTCATCGGAGCCGCTCATGGTTGGATCAGGAATCGGAGGGGGAGGTGGCCGGGGAATCCCGTCCCGCTCATCTGCGGCTGCCACCAAGCAGGGAGAAAGAAACGGGATGCTTATAGGTAGCACCTCGGAGGGGATACGAGAGTGCGGGGCGAAAGCGGAAGGCTGCGTTGCTGGGAAACCGGATAGAGGTCGTTTTCTTCGCGACCCTGGGTCAGACTTACTCTTTTCGCCGTCATGTGACGGCCGGCAACAGCAGAACTGCACTTGCACGGCCTCGCCGGCCACAGACATGAAACTTACCAACGGGGATGTGGACTGTATACCGCGGGCGGGGGACACGTACTCTGAGTGCTGCGAGCGCCCTACCCTGAGCCGCCCGGCTGCGCCGTGCAAAGGCGGCGGCGCCGCGGAGAGGGAAGCGAAACTGGCCAACGGTGGGGTGTTGATGGTAAACGAGAGCGAGTCGCTGGACGCCTCAGCAGATTTCCACGGCCGCCCGGATGAAAGCCCAGGTGACACGGAGCCTCCTGCGCCACTTGGAAGATGCGGTCAGGGGTCCAGTGACGGAGTTGCGCCCGGGGATGCGCTGGAGACCCAAGCGGGAGGGCCGTCTGTGTGTCCGGCTTCTGAGCGCGGTGCCGCGTCCCCAGAACCCAGCACATCACCCGCTGAACCCGGTGAGCACCCCACGAAAGCAGAGGAGATAAGCGAGAGTTCATCTCTTCGACCTTTAACACTCAGGACTAACAAAAACACTACAGCCTGCCTCAGTTGCGACGCCACCCCGGTCAGCCCGGACGGTGGACAGGTGTGCTCCGGGTCCGAGGAAGAGCACGACCCGAGGTTTATGGACGTCGCTGTAGGTTCCAGGAACACCTTCGAGGTCAGCCGGCGTCAAAGCGCCCCAGACAACCTGCCCGATGGCTTGTCCCTACCTGCGGACTCCTCCGCAGAGCAGGGCTCAAAACCCAAGAAGCTTGGGATCTCTGATTTTTTCAGCAGGTAAAAACCTACACTTAACATTATCTACAGCCCTGTTCCCACTTGGCCTTTCACAGACGCGGTGATCACAGAGAGTAATCTGAGGTCACACTGCGGTCTGTGTGCACTAATGCGTTCTGAAACATCAGACTCTGCCTCAAGTGGTGGTTAGACTGGCTTAAAGACATGGTTCAACAAGCAGTAACTTATGAGTGTATTTTCAAAGACCGCACAGGGTTCCTTCTGGGCACAAGCTATAGACCTTTAAATCTTTTCTTGACTGATTTACACTGCCTCTTGGGGAATACAAATGGTAGACACTTTATTTTAGGAGTCACCATGTGAGCCATGTGGTATTTATGAGTGGCTTTCCAGCGGTTAATAACAGGCAAATCTTGTATGAAGACTAGCTAGACAAGCTAGGTACTTGTTCTCTTTCATCACTAGTTAAATATGTCTGGTTTGTAGTTACTGATCATGCATACTTAAGACAGGCCTTGGTTACTGACAGTCAACTAGCTGTGTCGGTAATGAAGTAGTACATGGCCTGCAGGTGACCCCTAAAATGAAGTGTTCACATATTTTGGTGAAGCACTGAAGTTCAAGTCTTCAGCTTGGGCAGTCCCATGCATTCTGACACTAACAGTCTGTCAGCAGCACTTTGAGACGTGATGCTTTTCCTTGTTGACACTTGAACATAGCGTAGTCTGATAAGAACACATTGATTTTCCCAAGTGCGTCTGCCTGTGTTTCCACAGTTGTTTCTGCAGGAGCAGGTTGAGGGATTTTACTGGGAGTCCAGAGCTCCCTGTTTCCATTTGCCTGTGGTGTGGAAACTGCTGGGTCATTGTCCCCTCTTCCAATCCATACCTGCTTAATTTACACACTCCCCGTCTTGTCACAGGGGGTCTCTTTGCCTTTTTATAGGACACAGCAGAAGTGGGGAAAATGTTGGGACATTAACATCCAAACAAATTATCATAATTCCTAACTTTTTTTTTTCCCTTTAAAACGTTATATGTGCTATTAAGTGGTGTGAAGTGTCATACAGCAGTGCTTTTAGCTGCTTTCTGATACAGGAAACCCTTTCCTTCTCCGCATTGAGCTTTTGTCTCAGTCTACACTAGTGGCAGGTGCATGAGGCCATCGCAGTTCCATATGCGAAATGTAGCTGAAGAGAGTACAGCTGCCACTGCACTCATTTGTCACACTGTTGCTGGGTTGTCTCTGTGCATTCACAGATCAGTTCTCATTTTTCACACTTCCTTGATAGATACAGCACCTTGTCAAGGTATTCACCTCCCTCCCATGATGTCATAGCTTGAGGGAAATTCGCTACCTGCCTGAGGGACTTGGCAGAATAAACTGTGTTTATTCTGAGATCTCGTGAGCAACTGTTATTGCCACAGAGGCCATTCGACTCACCTTGTGAGTTGTCAAGTAACTTTCTGTTCTTTTAACTAATTTAGGTTTCCTGCATCCAAGGGGGTGAATACTTACATGATCAACATATATTCGCTTGATTTTATTTGTGGTTTTTTTTTACTGATGTAGGACTTCTTTCACCCGTGAAGGTTTTAACTCTAAGCATTTAAGTTATAATTAAAAATGTACTCTTAAAAGTATGATTATCTCATTTCTAATTAAACAACGTAGGATATCATTGGAAGTAGAATATCGTTGGAAGGGGGTGAATACTTTTATGAGGCCCTGTAAACTCTGACCTGTATGTTGCTGTTTATAATATGTCAGTGCAATTTTATCATTCAACAGAGCGAAAGAGGTAATTTATTTTGGTGTTTTCTGGGCCCTTGCCCAGGCCACTTCTCTCTTATAATAAATAATCTGCTGTCTTTTGGTGTGCTACATTAAGCTGCCCTCAAGTTACTTCATTATCATGTCCCTCAGTGGAGACTGAGTGGAGTTTGTAAGCTTATGTCTCTTTTTTGGAAAAGAGATCTGCAGTTGTCCCTTTCAAGTCTCTGGTCTCTTCGAATAGTAAATCACAGTAAGAAAAAAAGTAGAAGTAGGGTACTGCTATATACAGTACGGTATATACAGTATAACCCAGTTGCCCTGGATAATTCACCAAGGTGGGTGTTGTACCTAAAGTGCTCCCCATTCTGTAAAAATAATCCTAAATTTTGAGTTTTGGATTGTAGAACAAACTCCCCAGCCATGTTGTTGAAACCAGTACCCTGGCTTCTTTCAAGTAATGGCTGGGTGAGATATGGGGGTCAATTCATTACTTACTGAACAGGCCAAATGAGCTGAATGGCTTGTCATTTGTAACCCTTCTTATGTTCTATGTATGTAGTACTTGGGGACAAGCGCTTGTAAGTGCAATTCTAGAAAAAACAATACTGTAGGTGTGTTTTGTGGAGGTTTGCTTCGTGTGAGTCCTCGTTTACCCACGCCATATCTCAAGGGCTTGATTAGAGTGTAATGTGGTTCTTGTGATATAATAATTAGCTGACTCTCTTTCAGAGCTTGCAAAGAAGATATGATTGTTTAATTGTGCATGAGCTGCACAGCAGTTAGATATGGCCTGAATCTTTTCAAGCTTTGTATTGTTAGTCTTGGCATCTATGGTTTTCACAGCACAACACAACAACACAACAGATTCTTCCTTTTCTAATTTGAGCTGCAATGCAAATAAAGTTCAGCATCCGGGACGCTAATGCATGTTTGTACACAAGGGTACCGGCGCTGTCAGAGATTTTCACACTTACTTATAAGCACTAAAATATTTAACCCAGAAGAAAGTTTGTGGAAATGGTTGTTAACACTTGGCCAAGTGTAAAATGCGACCAGACAGTATGTTAAAGGGAAAGTGCTTCAAGGAGAAGTGAAATAAAGCCTGTAATCTGAAAAAAATGTCACAGTCAGCAAGACCACGCTGAAAGAAACACCACTCGCTTGTGTTTTAGCCAATAGTTTTTTTTTTATGTGGAACATTCTGTCGTAGCAAAGTAAAGCACTCTTATTATTTTAGCATTTTGATGTGGTAATGCAGCTGTATATTATGCCTTTATTGTTATTTCTTTTTTAACTTGTTTCAAAACTAGTGGTTTGTAAAAGAGAAAGTTGTGTTTTCCGAACCTTTTCAGTCAGGGAATCATGGTACGTCTGTGCATAGTGGTTTGCTTCAGTTCTGTCGCGAAGAGAAAGGTGCATTCTCTGTATTGGAATGGATGAGACATGCACTGTGTTGAGGGCGTCTGGCTCTTGATATGATATGAGCATGTCAGCTGATTGTGTGGGACTCGAAATGAGAGCAGGACTTCTTTTAGTATTCGCATCAGGAAGACTTCTCCCTTCCTTCTCGCAAACAGACATCCATTGAGTGAAAAGAAGGAACTTTTGTTATCCTGGTTTATTATTCAGGCTCCCATTCTCTGAAATTATTTCTTATGAAAACCACGCTGGAATGTTTTCATTGGACTTGGAACAGTCTGCAGGCAGGCAGCTGCCCAAGGCGAGATCTGTTTACATGAGAAAGGAAAGACCCTGCCAGGGACTGGACTCTTACTATAAATCATTAAAGAGCACAGCTCAGGTGGGTCCATCTGCACTTTCCTATAGTGTCATAGAAACAAGAAGTTATTTTAAACAGGAAACCTGATGTCTTGAGCAAAGGCCACTCACTAAACAGGGTTTGTGAATTTGTAACTAGTAAAGATGTTACTGTCATCCCGGGAGACAATATTGCTTCCATTAAAGTTTCCCTAAGGAAAATAATTTTTTTCCCCACACATCAGAGTGGATAAGAAGTTGTTCAATTTTACAGTAATATGTGAAATGAAAAACAAAAGTAACCAAATAGAGATAAGTATAGTTTTAACCAACAGTCAAAACCTTTTTTTATATTTTAACTGTTCATATAGTTGTTGTCACAGCATCTTGACCAAAAATAATCGAATGTGCTTTGAGAGCAGTGGAAACTGTAGGGTGTAGAACATGACGTTGTATATTACAGTCATAATGGGTTAAGCTTCCCTTTTGGCAGGTTAAAATACTTATGTTATGCCCATAGAATAAAACCAAGTATTTTTACTACTGTCTCATTGTATTCTTAATTTTCCTGATGATCCATACTAACCTTTCGAGTGTCTTAATATGTTTGTGTTAGACTGTGGGTTTTATTATGCATGTGTGTATCTTAGGTGTTTAATATTTTAAGCTACTGTAACATAGTAAGATGGTGTTTTCAGTGTGGTCTAGAAAACAATGAGTGTGAACAATTAACGTCTGCTTAGCAGCTTTAGATGATTAAAATTGTCAGAGTGGTGTAGTAAATAATATTAGTAAATATGTGTTGCTGCAAGTATGTCCTACTCAGTTGTGCTCACTTAAAAAAAAAAAAGAAAAATTGTTTGGTTCAGGAAAGTGTTCTTTAGTTTTGTTTGCTGCCTTGAGATAGTTTGGTCCAGTGCCTCTCTGTTTAAAGTCGGGGAGTGTTTCTAGACGTTTATTGTAAATATTAGTGTTCACCGCAGGACATTGTCTCATTGCTTTGACTAAAAGAAATACCCACACTGCTCATATTAGGGCATTGTCATGGGTTCCATCTTGTTTTTCCAAGCTAGCAGTGTTTAATGACGAGTAATTTCCAATCCATTTGTACTTGTCTAATAAGTGTCCTGCAGATCTTCCTCAACTGTATTAAACAAAAAGCAAAAACAATGTGCAGTCTTACGTTGGTTCTGAACATGTAGTTAATCGGAAATATTACAGCTACCAGCTGTGTCGTCTCTTTTGACATGGGGACCAGAGCAGGTGAAACTGCTTTTTGTCACTATTTGCTGGTTAAGGTTAAGGTGAAAATTGAAGCAAATATGAATTCCTAACAGCGCTTGTTATTTATTGTCACCTTTGTTACACCTTGTCATACACTTAGTGAAACATGTTAGTGAAACATTGCCGTTTCAGCAATTTTATCTTTACACATTAGTTATGTGGTATATTACAAATTATTATAATACAGGCTATGTGTTGTATTTCTATGAAAAATTGCACTG